GGTCCGGGGACGGAGACCAGAAGGACTGCCGGGCAGGGGACGCCCAACGGCGGCGGGCGGGTGGTGGGTTACGACCTCGCCGCCTTCGACCTAATCTGGCTGAATTATCTCCTGGGGGAGGAATCTCTGCATTCTGAGTTTGCAGATGTCCCATAGCCTGGCACGGAAGCACATGACACACGAGGACTTACGTGGAACTGCCCAAAAAGAACCCAGCACTCTCTGAATCTCAGGGCAACCTAGTCCTGTCACTGTTGGACCTTGAGGCCGGCGTGGGTGGCTCAGCAGGTGCCCCTCGGTCTGCCGGGGCCTTCAGGAAAGCCCTTCCCAAGGAGTGACTCGCGCCCCTCACAGCCATGCCTGCCTGCCTGCAGGGCAGTAGGGTTAGCTGACCTACTCCGGCCAGGGAGGTGGTGGCAGGTCAACAAATAGAATTAAAGGCCGGCCTCCGTAAACTCTGCCCTTTTGCAGAAGTCTAAAAACCTTAAAGACACAGCACCACACAAACGAAGCCGCGTGGTGGAGCAATACAGTTTGGAGGGCTCCTATCTGGTAAGATCTGACCCTGATCTTTGCCTGGCCAGCACAGAGGTCAGGGCAAGTGTACAAAACACAAAAGGAGGCATGTTTCATATTTAAGAGTTAGGGATCGGGCTGTTTTATTTACCCCTCTGTCAGGTGTCCCTACCTAAGACCTGGAAAGCCATGTTTGAGTTTACAATCCTCAGACTCCTAGGTGTTCCCTGGCCTGGCCAGCAGCCTTTTCTGTTTCTTCCCAGCCTCCTCGCTGCCTCCACCTCTCCACCCTCCTTCCTGTGCACACAGGTCAGTAGACATCCCAGCACGCCCATATTCTGTCTCTGCCCTCATTCCCTACAAACATCTGCTCTAAAGCCCTGGGCCTAGGGTGCCCACTGCTGGGAGAGGGAATCCCAGGGTCCAGTGACTGCAGCAGGGCTTCCAAGAGGGCGGGTTCAATTCCTTGTGGACTCCTTCCTCTCCTTAGGGTCACCACAGGAAGAAAGCCAGAGCAGGGCTCTGCAGTGCAAGGCCCACAGAGAGCCTCTTCCTGCTGTTTTTTAAGAACAGTCCTACTTCTGAAAACTGGGTCACATCTGATCAGAAACTTGACATGTGGCATGACAGCCAGATGACAAGATGGAAGACTGAATTCTTCAGAATTAAACATGAATCAGGAAGGGAAGTGACTGAAACAAAGATAATGCTAGGAAAAAAGCCCCAAATCAAGTGGTAAAGCAGCAGTACTACATTAAATACTAAGCAGGTGGGCTTGAGCACCTCGGTCACTTTAAGGCTCCTTGTAGAGAGCTGTTCCTAGCACCACCATGCTATCAGACAGGGAGAACTGGCTGTGAATTGAGTTCAAAGCCAGGCACTCTGCATTCATTATCACTACCCTGCAAGGTAGATAACATTGCCCCACTTTGTATGGGGGAGTCAAGTTCAGAGAGGTGACAGCTTAGCCAAGGCCACTGAGCCAGTAGATAGGATCACCAGGAGATAGAACGGCTGCTCTGCCCAGGGTTTCCACTCTGTGGTCCCATCTCAGAGTACTTGCCACAGGTCTAAAAGAGGCACTGTGACATAGCAGATGTAATATCAAGCCACTGTGGCCGGTGGCATCAGCTGTGAAAAATACAAATGCTATTTTTGTCCTTTACCCAGTCACAGATATTTATTGAGTGTGTCCTGAGTGTGGACGTGACTGTCCCTCACTTCATGGACCTTCTCATGGTCTACGGTGATAATCTCCACACAGCTCATCAGGGACATTTATAGGAACCTCTAATTGATGTCATAAACCTCAGTGGAGACCTCATACTGAAGGAGATTTCCTTTTCGGATAGGTGGTTTTATGAGATGGGGTCACACTAACCTTCCCAGGTGGGATTCAAACTTGCAGTTTTCCTGCATCAACTTCCCAAATTCTGAGATTACAGGCATGTGCCACCTCACCTGGGTCCAGATGGAACTTGGCACGGTCTTGCCTAAGGTCTTGGAATTTCCTGGAGACATGTGACACGAATGGGATGACAGCTTTTTATACTTGCTACAGCAAGCACACTCATTATTCTGTTGAGAGGTTATGAGCAGTTCTCTCACCACCGCCGCTCTCCTGAACAGAGGTTCAAAGTCTATCAGCAGATCAGCTGCAAGCAATTTTTGTACCTCTGAGAGGAACTGTTTATGAGAAACAAAACAATATCACAGCCACCAGAAAACTAGAGCAAAATTGAAATGGTATTCTAAAGAAAATGGTTATTCTTATTGCACTGAAATAAATTCAGCCATCAAAGTTGTTTTCCAAAAACCTGTGGCACAGAATGCTATTCACAGAGGAGCCAAGTTGACTACATAGCAATAGGAATATCCAATTCAAAACAGAATGAGAAAGGCCAAAGGCATGTGCAGGCGGAAACTGATAGGAAATATACGAAATTTATAGCAATGATCTGGTGTTTGGTTCATTGCCCCTTTTTTATAACTGCAAAAGTAAGACATTTCTGTGTAAGGTGGTAAAATGACAATACACAATGTTTTATTCCACACATGGGATGCTTTAAAACAGTGAACAGCCCTTTCAGTGCCAGCTTTTTGTGAGACGATTTGTCCAGAAGAGCCTTCTTGATGCGTGATTTTGTCCTTTTGTTTTTCGTACATCATCCTGTTCTCAGATAGTGAGAATAATTTTGCGGAATAAAAGGATGCCGTTCTAAGACAGATTTTTAAAAATGCTGTCTTATATGTGTATTGGACCGCTGTACCTTGGCTGCCTTTTCTTTCAGTAGGAAGGAGGAGAGTTAGGGAAGTATTTTCATTCTTGGCTTCTTTCCTAACCTTATTCTGAAGAATAACGCCAGGAAATAAGTTGAAGGTAGGTACTGTTTGTCAGATTCCTCCAGCCTCTGCTGCTGTCATTGAAAACTCACATTCTCTATGGGCAGAGATGATTTTGGAACTGCTGTGACTTGCCCTTTCCGTGCAGGTGGCAGTCATGTTTCTGACAGCAGATGTAGAAAAAAGGAGAAACAAATCAAGGGAAGAGGCAGAAAAGCCAGCCAGCCTGCATTTCAAGTCATCCTTTTCTTGACTTGACTTAGCCAAAACACCAGAAAGCAGATGGACTTTCTACATTGGCTCTAAGTACCAGCAATTCTCTGGGATTTTAAAATAGCTCCCAAATTAGAAAGGAATTGCAGGGGTCCTCGCTTGCTTGATGGGTACATGACCCAGGGATTGTAAATGTTTTTCACAGGACCATTGTCTTGAGCAATCCGAAGAAGAGGAACGCACTGTCACTCGCAATGCTGAAATCTCTCCAGAACGATCTTCTTCTTGAAGCTGAAAGCAAAGATCTGAAAGTCATTATCATTTCAGGTATTTATCTGATCATTTTCCTTAGAGCTTTGCATTACACAGAAGTGGTTTCTCAAAAGTCTGTAACTGGCGGAATTCCTTCCCTGAATAAGTTGTTTTGAAGCTCCTTTAAAGGACACTCATCATGGAAAATTCACATAGTTGGAGACTTTGTACTAACACTATTAACCCTGGAAATTGTAGAAAAATACTATATGATGAAAATGTGTCTTTTCGTTGTTGTTGTTGTTGTTGTTGTTGTTGTTGTTGTTGTTGTTAGATACTAGAAATTACCACACTTTGCTATGCTGGTCTTCCCATTAAAATCAGAACATCAGGGCTTGGAGTCTATCTAAATTAGGAGAGTGCTTGGCTAGCATGCATGAGACCCTGGGTTTGTTCTCTAGAACTGAAAAAATAAATAGAATTTCTTCATGGACCTTATAAATAATCCTTTTGGTATGTCCTAGTCAGCAAGGACATGGTTGTCTGGCCATTTGATTGGTTCGTTTTTTCTGTTTTTACCAGGCCTTACACTTGATATCCACAGCATGGTCTTTAACGGTGCCAAAAAGGTGCCATAGTTTGCCCACCTCTTCTCCTGCTCCTTTTCCAATAACAGTTATTCAAGAATTATCTTCATGTGATGCTGGTGGGGGCATTAATAATAGTAATGTCAGAGTTTACAAGAACCCTCAGAAAAATATAACTAATAATGTTCCTGGATGCTTTGTTTGTTTTGCAAATTAAAGATTTGGTGGCAGACCCTCAGAATGTTACCTTTTTAGCAAACAGAAAGTTTCAACTGTTTTATAGGGCAGAAGGAAAAGACATTAGAAAGAGTAGAATTCAACAGCCATGTGAGATGTAATGTGGATGCAGGAAAGGCCTCCAAGTTCTTAGCTCTACCATTTTTTACTTGCCAAAAAGAAGACACTGTTGCCTATCAAAATAACCACAACCACAAAGGAGAAATGTGAGGAAGTGTTAGCAGCTCATCAGGGAAATGACATTTATTGTTGCTGACAGTGGCAGGAGCCACATTTTCAGCTCCCTCCCCTGTAAAATAAAGAACTTGAGCCAGATGGCTCCCAAGTTCTCTTCACACTCTGATTTTCACCCCATGGGTGGTCCTTACCTGTGCCTAAATGACAGAGACAATGCCAAAGGCATGGTGGATTGCAAGGGCCCTGCATGGGTCCACACACTCAAGCCAGATGGAGTCCAAAATTAAAAAAAAAAAAAAAATCTACCTTGATCACAGAGATGTTTCCTATGTAATTGCTTATTTTCATTGATTTCCACCATGGGCTTTTAGGAGACGAGGGCTTTGGCATTTCATCATGACATTCTGTCTGTACCTTTTCAGGCAAACTGGAATTGTTCTTATAAAAATTGAGCCATTAACTTTTGTTTGTTTTGTTTTGTTTTGTTTTGTTTTGTTTTTTGTACCAGGGATCAAACTCGAGACCTTGGGCTTGTGAGGCAGGCAGTGGTGGCACCACTGAGCTAAATCCCTGGCCCTGAGCCATTAACTTTCTAAGTGTGCACAGCGTAGATGGCTTTGTGATTGTCTACTAAAGTTGTTCAGTAGATGTTCACCTCTGAAGTTTATATCTTTTTCTTTTCTTTTCTCAATTGGAAACATTTGTAGCTGAGGGCCCTGTGTTTTCTTCTGGACATGATTTAAAGGAACTAACAGAAGAACAAGGTCGTGATTATCACTCTGAAGTATTTCAGACCTGTTCCGAGGTAAGCCAGGATGACAGTCAACATTGCAAACCAAAGATGATCATTATCCTAAATATGGAGTTAGCCTTCTTGTTCACAGATAAGATTTCATCTGCGAGAGGTAACCACCATAGAGCTTCATCCAAACGATTTGGTTTGACTTTTGAGAAGTAATCACAATTTGCTACTGATTTTATGTACCAAAGAAAGTAAAATATACAGTAGCACTCCCAGTTGCCATCTCCACTGTGGGTATATGTCTTGGTATAAACTTTTTAAGTAAGAAGTAAAAGGTGGGAATGTATATCTTTAGAGAGAACCTGTGATTATGATAATCTTTAAAACTAAGACAACTCCTGTTAATGGGAAAGAAGGGATATTTATAAATGAAAATAGTAAATGGCTTTTTAAGGTTTTTGTTTTGTTTTTTTAATTTTTTTGTTTTGTTTGTTTTCTGAGAGAAGATCTCACTATGTTGTCCAAGCTGGCCTTGAAATTGCTGCGTAGCTCAGGCTGGCCTCAAACTCATGATCCTCCTGCCTCCACTTCCTGAGCACTGGGATTACAGGTGCACAACACCACAGCGGGCTCTAAAATTATTTTTTAACAAACTTTTATAAACACCACCTCCAAGAAGACAAACTAACCTCTTCAATTTCACCTTTCTGCCCTTTTTATTATAATAAGGAGAAAAATTGTCAAAAGCCACAGGAAGAAGAGGTACAAAAAGTTTTGGATGATTTATAAATCAACCTATATGTAATGAAAATAGAATCTAACTTTAAGTTATACATTTTCATTTAATGAGTATTTATTGAGCACCTACTTTAAACATACCTCCAAGATCCTAAGGGAAATACAAGGGGGAAAGTGTTTCTTGCCAAACTGAAACTAGAAATCCACCTGAGAAACAAGCCATGGAAGAGTTTCATAACCTGACCCTAAGATTCTTTAACCTAGTTATTCATTCATTTATTTAGTTGTTAATGATTCAACAAACAGTAATGGTACCTGTTATGCAGACAAGACAGGTGAGCAGCAGAGGGGTGAGTGGGAAGGTGACGGAGACACATTTTTTTTTTTTTTTTGGTACCAGGGATCAAACTTGGGTCCTTGAGCCAGGCATCAGCACCACTGAGCTAAATCCCCGGCCCCTTGGAAACACATTCTTGACCACCATTTGTTTCCCTTGCCCTTCCAGAAACTTATAAGCAGATCAGATTGTATTTTTCTCATTCTATGGAAGGACAAAGAGGAAAAGTAATTAATTTGAAGCTTCATGGGATAGTGGAAGCAAGCTCGCTAAGACTGTTGTTTCCTACATTAATGATGCTTATATAATACCTGCTCATAGGTTTGCCAAGGCTCGGTGCTTTAAAAGTTATGTCTTTACTAATACACAGTATACGCGGTTAAAAGAGAAAAGCATTAAGAAAACCAGCAAAGCCCTCTGGCCTCCTGAATAATGAAGCATCTGCTTTTCTCCCTGTTCTTTGGTAGCTTCACGAACTGAGATCTGAATAGGTTGGCAGAAGCTGCATAGAAGCCAAGGCTTCTTCGTGGACAGAGGCCAGATTTCTAAGACACCCCCACCCCATGGAGGCCTCTGACTCACTGGAGAGATCAGTGCATCAGCAGAACCTAGCCCTAGAATACAGTAGGAGTGCAAGAGTGCTGATTTCTTTAACACTATTTCTTTTTTTTTTTTTCAGCTTTAATTGAGTTTATTGGTACATTTTAGGGATACAGTACAGTTACATTCATTGTTGGGATCTTGTACCTCTACATGACAGGTCTTGATTCTCATTTTTTTCCCCTTACCCCTGCCCTCCCTTCACCCCCTTCAACACTATTTCTAAGACATTCACATCAGCCTGGATAAATATGAGCACCGTGAACTTGTGCAAGATTTCAATTTGCAAGTGTAATCAACAAGCAGGTTTAGAACAGAATGAACTGGATATTTCATTGTTCAGTTCACATGCAAGGAAATTTGATTTTAGAAAGGAAAGATAGAAGTATCTAAATAAGCTCACCATCCAAAAACTTGTAGCAGATTTGTTACAGACCACAAGTACTGCACGATAGTGAATAATTTACAGATCGGGATTAAGGTGAATTGAGAATGAAAGGTACTTGGTTAGGAAAGGGCTGAAGTGATATGGTGCTTATACTAGAAACTTGTTTATCCCTGGCTTGTCTCCTTATACCCTATTGAAGTTTGGAGGTGGAAACTCTAGTCCATGAGGAGACTCTTCTCTTTCTTCTTACACCTCACTAATAAAATGACAGAGGACAAAGTAGCTTCCTTTTAGAAGTAACTTGGAATCCTTAGTAATTCCATCAAGTGAGGCTAGGGAAGAGTTCATTTTATGTCACATTTTGGAGTAGGTACTTAAGACAGTACTTAATTCAGGAAGGTCAAATAGAATGTAGAACCGATTCTTTTTTTTGGTACTGGGGATTGAACTTGGGACCTTGCTCTTGCTAGGGAGGTGGTGGCACCACTGAGCTAAATCCCCAGCCCAATTCTTTTTTTTTGTAATTAATTTTATTGGTACATTTAAGGTATACAATGTCATGACATTCATCGTTGGACATTTGCACCTTTACGTAATCCATCTTGGTTCTTATTTTTTCCCCATTCCCCTTCAACCCTTCCAATTCTTATTTTATTGTTTTATTTTTGGTTCCAGGGATCGAACTCGGGTCTTTGCGCTTGCAAGGCAGGCAGAGGCACCTCTGAGCTAAATCCCCGGCCTAACCCTTCCAATTCCTATCAAGGATTTTATTCATTTATTTATTTGTTTAATTGTATTTTGGTATCAGGGATGGAACTCAGGCCCCTTACACTTGCAAGGCACGTGGTGAAACCACTGAGCTAAATCCCTGGCCCTATCGAGGATTTATTATCCTAGCATGTTTATTATCTACATTCCCTTTGTCTTTTCTGAACTTCTAACTTCATTTAAAATATTTTGAATTATGAAAACAAGAACATATTACAGAAAAATTTCAAAATCTAGAAGAAAAAAGGGAGAAAAATAATGCAATCCCATAATTATACCACCCAGAGAAAACTATAATTGATATTTTGCTATATTTATTTTTAGTAATTTTTCGATGTGCCTATTTGAATAATCATACACAGGTATGATCCTATTGTATGATTTGTATAGCAATGTGATTATAGCACTGAATGCTTATTATGTGCCCAGTAATATTTCTAGTAATCTGGATATATTAATTTATATAATCGCCATAGTCTGTAAAGTTGGTGTTAATATTATACCCATTTTACAGACATAAAAACTGAAGACTTAGGCAAGGAAGCACAGACTGGCCATCAGACCCCAGCAGCCTGAGTCTAGAACACTACATAAGCCCTGTACCACCGTGCTGGTATTTCCCTTGGAAATTTTCATTTTATTTAAAATGTTACATTCAATTAAGTAGATATAGTTTAGTTTGGATGGATATAGTTGTTAGCTCTGTATCACTTCAACAATATATGAGGCAATGAACTTACAAAGGGGAAAGTTTATAAAGTTTATAAAGGGTAAGTCATGGTTCTGGAGATTCAAGTCCAAGATTGGGTAGCCCCATTGCTTTGGGCCTTGGTGAAGGTGCTGGATGACAACAGCAGTGAGTGTGCGTCCAAGCAGCTGTGCACACTGTGAGTCAAAAAGCAGAGAGAAGAGACCGGCTCCCAAAGTCCCTTTTGAGGGCACACTACCAATGACTGAAGGCTCTGCAGCACCAACAGCACCACCTAGGGCCATGGGAGACACTCACCCACACTGTAGCAGCCATGTACTTACTTATTTCCATGAACCTGTGTCATTTATAGTTGGGGTTTCTTTTGTTTGTTTGTTTTAATTTTTTTCCCAGTACCAGAGATCGAACTCAGGATCTTGCTTTTGTGAGGCAGGTGCAGCACCACTGAGATAAATCCCTGGCCCTATAGTTTGTTTGTTTGTTTTTTACTACCGTAAAATAATGATTTGGTCAGTGCCTTTGACCACAGAGCTTTTTACCTATTTCAGATTATTTTTCAGAAGGAGAATTCCTAAATCTAAGGTATAAGCACTTGTCATGTTGTCGATTACATACTGTATGCTCCTACAGATCTTTTGAAATCCTAGCCCTTCACAGATGGCAGACAGGACACATGAACCAGTCAGCTCCAGTCCTAGCTGGTGGGCTTTTCGTATGTAACTCCAGTTCCTAGGTGATGGAGTAACACTAAGAACCAAATCTATCTTTCTTTGTGGCAAGACGTTTGAAGGTCTTATTAGTTGTTCCCTTGTTTTTCCAATTCACTGGGAATGAACTCCATCTTTAACCCACCTGGCCTCTCCCTAGGCTACCTGAACCTCAGAGAGCCATGAGCGGTTTTGTGCAGACGTGTGTGTGTGTATGTGTGTGTGTTTTCTGGCGAGAGGTTCATTAACATTTACCAGATTCTTAAAAGACAGAAGATGACCCTATCTTCCAGAAAAGTAAGGAAAGAGAAGAATAGAATATAGTACAGTAGACTTGCATAGGCAGTTGCATGTCCTTTACACTGGGGCTAGGTTCTGGAAAATGTGTTGCTCGGCAATTTCATCACATCAGGCAAACATAAAAGGTACTTAGACAAACCTAGATGGGACAGCCTCGCTATGCTCTACGGCCTGAGTGTAGAAATATATATGTATATGTATCTTCTACATATAGAATATATATCTCAAATATATGTCTGTATATATACATACACATGTATATACTGACATAGCCCAGGGCCATAGTTAACAAAATAACATGAGATTAAATCAGTCACAAGAAATAGAGATTATTAAGTGAAATAAGCCAGAGACTCAGAAAAAGGTATCATGTTTTCCCTCATATGCGTAAATCAACAGAGAGGTGGCAGGGAGGGAGGACTGGGGATTTAGCTCAGTGGTACCGCACCTGTCTTGCAAGCACAAGGTCCTGAGTTCGATCAAGGAAGGAAGGAAAAGGACAGGGAGGGGACAGGGACTATAAATGATCATGCTATCTTCTTGTACAGACTGAGAGAGAGGGCTGCGGATTTAGCTCAGTGGTTCCACCACCTGCCTCGCAAGCACAAGGTCCTGAGTTCAATCCTCAGTACCAAAAACATAAAATAAAAAGAGAGAAAGAGAGAGAAGGTAACTACTAGGAGAAGCTGCTGCCAGTGCAGCACAGCATGCAGTTTTATAGTAAACACTCTTTAATAAGCGGTGGTACACTCTAAAATAACGGTAAATAGGATAGGAGCCAGGTTGGGCGTGGTGGCACACGCCTGTGATTCCAGCACTCGGGAGGCGGAGGCAGCAGGATCACTGTGAGTTCAAGGCCATCCTAGAATCCACAGTGAGTTCAAGGCCAGCCTACACTGCATAGTGAGACCAGTCTCAAAAAAATAGTATAGAAGCCATGGTGTATCTCAGTACACTTGCTTAGCATGTACAAGGCCCTGAATTCATTCATCAGCGCACGTGTGTGCATACACACACACACACACACACACACACAAATAATGAATATATCAACCAGAAACATGGTCATTTATTTTCACTGTCAAGTATTATGTACTGTACTCAGCGGTATACCTCTGCCTCATATCTGTGGCAGTGCTGCAGATATGTTTATACCTGAATCAGCACAACCACCTGAGCAGTGCCTGGCAATGTGGCCGTCTGGCGGCTACAGGGCCACTAGGTGATAGGAACTTTTCAGCTCCATGATAGTCTTACAGAGCTACCATCAAACATAGTTTGTACTTGGATAAAATGTCATTACGCAGTGCCTAACTATATAACTGGTTATTTTAGAAAAGAAGCTGATAAATTTCAAATGTGTATGAATATAAGTTTCCTAGGCAAAGTCTTCAAATCAATGAAGGTCATTTTTCTTTGAATTGCTGCCTTGGGGAAAAACCCAGATGTAGCTTCTATCTTTACTTCGCTCCCTGCCAAGGTTCAAAGAGCAATAATTTAGAAATTGAAGTTGCCATAGCAACGCAATCTGTTTAGAGTGTCATGAGAAACCCAAGCTGTAAAAATAAGTGAAAGTTCTGGCAGTTTATGGCAGTGGGGGTCACTTGAGTGCATTTTCATCTCTCTTCTGGGTGCCAATGGCTCTGTTTTAGGAATTTTGTTTATCTCGATGACTGCAGGGTGTCCTCCCCCTCCCCATTTTAACTTAATAGAATAGAAAGAGTATTTGTGGTGGTAATTTGAGAAGTAATTACTGAGGAAATTGCATTCAAGTCCCTTTTCCATCTTAATTTTTCAAGAAAGCACCAAATACCAATTTCGGAGTTTTAACACAAGGGCTTCACACAGGCACAGGGAGAACAGAACTATTTGTGAAGGGTTTTGTTTGCTCTCCAGAGACAAAACTCTTCCCTGTTCTTCAGTGGGGGTGCTGCGGAAGCGCGCCAAGGGGACGTCACCTCTGCCTGCACTCCAGTCAGGCTGGCAGGTGGCCTTAGGCAGGTAACTCCCTCTCCTTCAGCCTCCTGTCCTTGTGTCAAATAGGTTCCCTTCCCCATGGGGTTCTCCGAAAGCCCAAATGACACAGGCTGGTCCACAGTAGATATTTAATACAAGTTAGTGCTTTTTGTGTTTTCTTTCATCCTTTTTTTCCTAGGATCTGATGAACTACTGCATAGGAAAAGCTCTGGAAACAGGAAAGAGAACATAACAGGTATTAGGACGGCTCCTCCTCCTGCATGGATGTGAAGTGGGTGTGTGTGTGTCCCTGCAGGTCATGATGCTGATCCGGAACCACCCTGTCCCCATCATCGCCATGGTTAATGGCTTGGCCACAGCTGCTGGTTGCCAGCTGGTTGCCAGCTGCGACATCGCCGTAGCAAGTGACAAGTCCTCTTTTGCCACTCCTGGAGTGAACATCGGGCTCTTCTGCTCCACCCCTGGGGTGGCCCTGGGGAGAGCGGTGCCCAGAAAGGTAATTTAACTTCCTTCCAGCCCTCCCCTAGATTTCGTCCTCCAGTACTCATGAAATTTAGAATTAGCATTTTTTTTTTAAGTTGTTGTTTTGAGACAGGGTCTCCCTGTGTAATTCAAATTGGCTTTGAACTCACTACATAGCCCAGGCTGGCCTCAAACTCATGATCCCTCTGCCTCAGCCTCCTGTGTGCTATGACAGGAGTGTGCTGTCATGCGTAGCTGGGGCTTTTGTTTGTGCTTTTGCTTTTTTTCAGTCAGGGTCTCATATAGTCCAGGCTGGCCTCAAACTTATAATTCTCAAAGAAAAAGAAATGAGACCCAAGGGCTTCTTGAGTAGCTGGGATCACGGGAGTGCACCACCATGGCCAGCTCAAATTAGCTTATTAAAATCACCAAATCTACTAGGACATTCTGCCTAAAGGCTTTCTGGCTGGATGTGCCTATTCCTCTATAGCTCTTACACTGGGTGTCAGTTTGTGAAGTCGCCATGTTTCAATCTGGCATGCCTCTCAGTACCACTAGTGAGATTTTTTGATTGGCTTGTTTTTATAAAGTCATAATGGTTTTGTAAATCTTACCTGAAATGCAACTGAGGCTCAGTTTTGTTGAACTGAATGGTTGCCTGTGAGATGTAATAGTGTGCTGATGGAATACCAGTACCAAGAGGCTGGAGTGGCATCACTGGCCAGACGCCTGTTCCAGAAAGGACGCAGTAATTGATTCATTGGTTGAGTAATTGATTAATTGATTCTTCTCAGAAGAATCTTCTGGATTGTCCTCTTCCTCTTGCTTTCTTCCTCATGTTGGGTTTACAATAGTTGCATTTCAGGTACATGAATATCTTATGAATAGTACTTGTAGTCTGTCTAAGAAGGAATCACGTTACAGAGTTGCCTCCTTGTTGCTAACTACAGTGAAGTCTATTTTCACCACATAGCTTGCTTCCTTCCTATAGCTCATAAAATATTTACTGAACATCCCTGAAGTGGAATCAACAGTGCCCTTGTTCTAGTAGAAGGACATCCTCATTCTCAGTGGGAAATCTGTGAAAAGTGGACCATACATACAGCACTGAAGTGCTTTCCAGAATACATTATCTGTTTTAGTAATGAGTACAGAAATTAGCATTTGCTCACACACCTAAGGCACAAAAGAAATGAGACTCAAGGGGAATCAAGCAGTAGGACCTGGAAGTTTATGAAAGGATTCCTTTCTTCTGCAATGCTTCCCTTGTAAGTTTTTGCAGAAATGTGTGTCTGTAAGGAGATTTGGAAGACAGTTATGTGCAAGCACACCTACTTCTGAAAGTGAGCTGGAGGTGGGCTCCCTACTGCAAAAAGTGGCAGCTTACTAAAATGTCTTCCAGTGGGGGTGTTTCTGTTTCTGTCTAGGTTTTTACTTTAAATGTATAGATATTCATGAAATAAGTATTTCTTCAGTTGCTACTTTGTGCCAGTACATTAAATGGAAATGTATTACAAATCTGTTTTCAGAGCTTACTTATAAACTGTAAATCAGATCTTGAGACCTCTGCATAGTGAAAGGTGGTTGCACTAGTTAGCCTGCCTGGTAGTTTTTATCCTCTTCAACCTCTGACTTTCGGGAAGGTTCCACAGTATAGCTTTTGAAACCTTTAAATCAGTCTTACTGTTAAGATTAGGATCTATTCTTGATTAAAATAAACTTTTGAAATCAGGGCTTATCAGAGTTGCTTCCTAGAAACTTAACACCATAGCATATTCTTATCAAGTTTTAAATTTGCTTTTGAGAAGATAAAAGAGGACATGTGACATAAATAGGCCTTAAATTCCAAGGAAGCCCAGTTCTCAGAACTATGCTGCATAATTGCCCCATGTGGCAGATTAAAGGGCTGGGTCATTGTAAGGCCCAAGGCAACTTTTCCCTGCCAAAGACAACTTTGTGAAGAACCAGGCCTTCTCAGAAGAGTCCCTGGGTTGTCCTCCTCCTCTCTCTTCCTCATGTTCCGACTCCCAGAAGGCTTCTGAGTAACTCATCAAGGCTGCAGAGTTGGGTATGTTGGCACACCTGTCATCTCAGCTCTTGGGAGGGAGAGGCAGGAGGAGTGCCACAAGTTCGAGGCCAGCCCAGGCTACATAGTGAACTCAAGGCCAGCCTGAACTACACAGTGAGAACTTGTCTAAAAAATCAAACCAAAACAAAAAATATTGCAAAATTTTCCAGTCAGCCAGCTGAAAATGGTTCAGAGTTCTGTCAACAAGTGTATTTATACATTGGATTCATTAGTGCTGAGCTACTGGCATGAGGTTGGGGGCATGAAGCAAGAATATGGTTTGGCGTTGAGACTAACGACACATGGCTCATTAGTCATTGTTGCAGTATTTATAAAGGGAATTTTGTAGGAGCAACATGTGTCAGCACTTCAGACCTTTGTCAGGTTTTTGAGTCTGCAGAGCCAATCTATGTGGCTTACTTTGCAGGAAAAAATGGGATTCATAAAAGTCTGAAGCACTTGCCCAGGAGTCAAACATCTAACTCTGGCCAAAAGCACCTGCCAGTCATCTCTGCTTGACTGCACACGTAGGAACTCAGTCCTCTACAGCTTCACTGAGCATGCGCGTGAATGGCACTTTGTCCCTGTCCTTGCACAAGGAAGCAAGCAGGAGGGCCTTTCGCAAACTGGCCTGTACGGGAAGTGGCAGACCTTTTCACAGCGCCTACAACATGTATCAGTCACTGGCGCCCTCTGCTGGTCACCCTGAGAGCCTACCTAACAGTCTAAAATTGTAGTTTGTCCACTGGGGGCGGAAGTGGGAGTCAAGCTTCTCTGTTTAAGCCGACTAAGCTTGGGCATGAATGATCTTCTCCATTTGTAAAGTGTGAGTTAAATAATGCATCTTCACTGTGCTAGAGAAATATTCGGCCTGATCCAGCTGCTCCCTTTCCCAGACGAAGGTGACCTCAGGCAGAAACGGAGCCAGCGTTCAGGCATCTGGCATCCCCATAGAGCACCTGAAAAATCAATCGCTTCCTCCCAAACCAGACCTCTCCACCTGTAAGAATTCTTGTTTCCACCTGGGTACTGTTTTGACTCTGTGAGTCTGTACAGTCTGATTTCCTAAGTCTAACTCGAACAGAGCTGGAAAGTGTGGCAGATTCTTGCTGCTCAGACTGGTGACAGCAGAGTTTGCTGAGCAGTGACAGGAAGTGGCATCTGGGTTTGGGAAGAGCAGCCCTTTACAGGAAATTTTCTCATGCTCCCAGGCAGCTAGGCCTATGATCCTCCATGCAGTGTGCAGCCCACCTGTGCCCTGGGTGAGTGTGAACATGGGTGCACACCCTGCAGATTCCCTGTGCTACTCACTCCCTCCGTGCAGCTCTGCCCTTTGCTGTTCATGCACTGGGCACACAGACGCCAGGCTGTGGTCTTGATGCCTGTGGTCCTCCCAAATCTGTATGTTGAAACCTATTGGCCAAAGCGATGGCATTATGAGGTGGGGCCTTTGGGAGGTGATCAGGTCAGAGGACGAAGCCTTCGTGAATAGGATTAGCGCCCTGATAAATGGGCCCGGACCACTGCCTTCCATGTGAGGTCACAGTGAAAAAATGTAATTCTGCGAACCCAACAGCAAGTTCTCACCAGATACCAAATCTGCTGTTGCTTCGATCTTGGACCTTCCAGCCTCCAAAACTGTGAGAAATAAATTTTTGCTACTTATAAACACTGCGGCTTATTGTTTACAGCATCCTGAATGGACTAAGGCAGCACGCTTGTCCAAAAGACACTGTGCCCAACCCAAGGAGCCCTTGGAGTGCCCAGCACGTGGTTCTTGCCATATGTGTGTCTTAAAGGGGTCTCACTGACCTGTTTTATTTTTGCATTGAGTTTATTGGTGCTTTTCAAATATACAGTACAGTTCCATTCATCACTGGGATCTTGTACCTTTATGTGACAGGTCTTGGTTCTTATTTCTCCCCATTCCCCTGCCCTCCCTTCACCCCCTCCACCCTCCCCTATTTACAAAGACTTTGTTTCCATTTTTTCCTTTTCTCATATTTTTTCTTGTCCCTTATTTCCTTTCCCCTCCCCTTCCCACTTCCCCTACACCTTTCGCCCTTTTCTTCCTATTTCACATTGTCAGTTGTACAATTTGGATTTATTTACACTTTGTTTTTCACACCAGAGAAACTATTCAGTATTTACACGTGTGTGTCTTATTTGAGTATGGCCTCAATATCCATTCATTTTCCTATCAATGACTCTAGTTTCTCATTCTTTATGGCTAAGTAGTACTCCATTGTATAGAAAAACCACATCTTCTTTATCTAGTCTCCAACTGCTGAACCCCTGTTTTAAATGATCATCATTTTCAATTGCTTTCATACCTAGAAGCCATAATAAGAGTCAGAAATTTTCGTTTGGAATAGGTATGTTACTATTAGCCACTGTGTTTATTAGGTACCTGAGAACCCAGCACTATATCATAAGCTTTACACCTGTTCTCTCCAATCACAATACCACAAGGCGATGGAGGTACTTACTCCTGTTTCCAGATGAAGAAACAGACCCTGTGGCAGCTTGGACTCCAAAGGCCTCCCACTTAAAATGTCCTGGGACATTTGCAATCCTGTGTATCTGTCATATCTGAGTCTGGCAGGTGCTTTAGAATGTGTAGTGGGGCCTGATAAAGGTGAAGAGAGAGAGAGGGTCTCACGGTAAACAGGAGCATGAAAGGAAAAGGGGGACCTGAAGGAGACATCTATCAGAAGGCACCTGATATGGGGATTTGCCCACAAACAAATCATCAGCCCAACTGCAAGTCCCACTGCAGGGTATGGATAAATGCCCATCTGCTAAGCCAGAAAGAAAAATTACTATGCTTTGACTTTTATTACTTCCTCTTTCCAACTCTGATTCCATCCTTAACCACTCTTTGAAGTAATTTGAGGTCTTGGGCATTCCAAGTGATAAAGGAATCAATAGGCTTGAGTTCAGTGTTGCTTTTTTCATGTTGTCTCCATTTCCGGAAAATGACCACTTCCTGCGATGTGATCCATGTGAATTCCTTAAACCACCTGTGTTAATGGAGGAAAAAGAGCCACTTGGAGATGCAGTGACACTGTTTCCACCTTGGCAACAGTGACAGGTGGCTGTAGGGCAAAGATGGAGGAATATTGTCTTGCTCGCTTTGCTGTGTGACTCACTGGGTGTCTTCGACAGAATCTTATACAGTAGGGGTTAACAGTGGGATTGGGTTCTCAGCTCCACATTCAACGAGGGAGTTCAGACATGCTTTGGCATGATGGTGCTATTCCTGGCCAACCAAAAACTGGTCTGCCCTGAAGCAACTCATAGTGTCAAGGTCCTGCTGCCTCCAAGAGACAGTCATTACATTTACAACACAGAAGCTGAGATTCAATCCTCACCATCACCTCTACAGAAGACAAAACAAGGCCCGATATCACCCATCCCAGATTGCCAGTCCAGGGTGTGTGGTTCCCTCTACACCCATGGTGGGGAGATAGCCTCCAGCCAGGCTCCTGGCCTCTCCTTTTAAAGCTTGATCCCTGGTCTCATGGTTTTAAAGCAAACTATCTAGATCAGTGATTCTAAAGTTAGAGCAAAACTGGCCCTAGGGACATTTGGCGATGCCTGGAGACATTTTTGAGTGTCACAACTGATATATAGAGGTCAGGGATGTTGCTAAATGTCCTACAATGCCCAGATCAGTCCCACACAACAAAAAATTCTCTAGTCTAAAATGTCAGTATTGCCAGGCATGGTGGCATAATCCCAGAATTTGGGGGTCCGGGGCAGGAGTATCACTGTTAATTCAAGGCCAGCCTGGACTACATAGTGACACTATGTCTCAAAAACAAACAAAAAGTAAGCAAACAAACAAAATGTCAGTATCATCAAGGTTTTCCTAAAGGCTGATGACTCCCAAATTTATTACATCAGGCTTTCTAGTTATCTATTGCCAAATAATGAGCCACTGAAAACTTAGTAGCTCAAGGCAGTAAGAATTTGGTTAGGCCATGAATTTGCAGTTTGGATGGTTCAGCAAGGAAGGCTTTTTTCTGCTCCAGTACCTGCGGCCTCCCTGGGAGGACGGAAAGACTGGGAGTGCCACCTAGGGGACTCATCTGGCGGTACTCATGCACAGGTCCGGCTGTCGAAACCATTCCTCAGTTGGGCCCTTAGCAGAACTGTCAGCTGGCTCATCAGTCTGGACTCTCAGGGTGGCCTGGGCTTCCTCACTGCGTGGTGCCCAGGTTCCAAGACCGAGAGCCAGACAGAAATTGTAGCACCTTATGACCTCTGCTATGCCTTAGTTTCCACCACTCATTCGCTTTTTCATAAACCTTTGGGAGATTGCTTACTTTGTACAAGTTGTCTTCTGGTGCTGGGGAAGCATAAACGAACAGAACACAAAAAATAAAATTCCTGCCCTGTTGGCGTGTACACGCAAGCAAAGGAGGTATACAGCCACTAAACATGTGAAATATGGGCCAGGGATGTAGTTCAGTGGTTCCACCGCCTGCCTTGCAAGCACAAGGTCCTGTGTTCGATCCCTGGTACCAGGAAAAAAAAATGTGAACTATATGTTATGCTAAATGGTGAGAAGTACAACAGATAAAAATATAGCCAGAAAAGGAGGGTGTTCAGGTTTCCTTGCCAGTTTCCATAGTTCAATCATAAAGGGCTTCACCGATGAGGTGACATATGGCAGAGTCATGAAGGAATAAAGATGCAAGCCGTGAGGACACCTGGGGGAGCCTGCAGGCAGGGGGAGAGCAAGTAGCATGAGGACCCTGAGGGACAGCATGCTTGGCATGTTTGAGGGACAAGGATGGCACCAGAGCTGCAAGAGAGTAAGCAAGGGGTGGCGGGAGAGGAAGGTTCACCTGCACTGTGCTCATGAACACCTGGGGTCCCGTCTTTGCCAGCCAGAACTTTGAGTCTGAGAAGCGGACTGTAGACTGACAGAACTGAGTGTGAGCGAGGTCTGGCTGTAGACTGGAGGGCCCTGTGGACAGTGAGGAGGTGGCACTCCCTCTTTCTGCAGTCCTGACATCTTTGGGGAGGGCAGAGGTTTACTCTCCCTGTCATATCTTACCTACTTGTAAGGTGAAGTCATGCTACATCCTGCATCTGATCCCTGGCAGACAATTTCTTCTTTCTCCACAAGAATATAAGCTGCTCTTTCAGGTCAGGCTGAGGTGAGGTTGCCCATGGATGTGTCTCCTTATGCAAAGTGGCCCCTGCATTGGTTTGTGGGAAGTAAGGGGCCTCACTGTGGTTGCATTTGCAGTGGCCTCCTATCAGATGGGCTGCTGTCCTGGGCTTGGCCTTGGAAAGAGGCAGATGGAATCTCCTGTGTCAGCAAACAAGTGATCAGATCCGTGCAGGAGTAAGAGAACATGGAGAGTCACTTCCCTCCTGGGCTACTTGTATTTTCTTCACTCTTGGAAAGATCTGATCTTATCCCTGGCCGGAGCTGGGGTGTTGACACCATCTGAGGTGATGGATGACACGTCACTTGAGAAACAGATAACTGGACCTCAGTGGAGTCAATCAGGAGAGCGAGCACCTCAGCAGAGTGAGCAGAGAGGGGCAGGTGCAGTGGATTTGAGTATCTTAATGACCTCGCATGCTTCCTCCCTCAGGTTGCCCTGGAGATGCTTTTCACTGGGGAACCCATTTCGGCCCAGGAGGCCATGCTGCATGGGCTGCTTAGCAAAGTAGTGCCAGAGGAGCAGCTGGAAGAGGAGACCATGAAAATAGCAAAGAAGATTGCCTCTGTAAGCCGCCCTGTGGTGTCTCTGGGCAAGGCCACCTTCTACAAGCAGCTGTACCAGGACCTTGGAACAGCCTACAGCCTCACCTCCAAGGTCATGGTGGACAACCTGGCAATGCAGGATGGGCAGGAGGGAATCAAGGCATTCATGCAGAAGAGAAAACCCACCTGGTCATAGTGAACCCACAGTAACAGAGGAACGGAGGAGGGCTGGGCCTAGCAGGGGAGGGAGAAGCACTGAGGAAGCACCCTCAGGCCTCACCTCTGACTCCCACCCACCTCTGCTGCTTCCCCGCTGTAAGAGAAGACAGCACGCTTTTAGAACACTGGTAGTGGCTTCACAGCATGCAGTTCGTATGAACAGTCATGATTCCACGGGAAAGGACCATCGGTGGAAGGTCAGGGAGCACCCGCGAGGGGCCAGCTGCAGCAGAAAGCCTTGAATGACTTACTCTCACTGCACTTCAAATGAGGGGCCCTTACGTACAAGGTGATGATCGGGTGGGGCACAAAGGAAGGATGTCAGCCTGACCCTTACCAGGGATGTCCTCTAAGACAGAGTCGATCCTTGTCGCTCATGACAGGTGAAACATTTCAAATCTCCACGAGGTGTTCACGCTGAAAACCTTGATTCTACCGGGAAATTATCGAGCCTGGGGCTTTGGAATAATCTTATGTGATTTAAATAAATTAAATATGTACAGAGACTGGTCACTTTATCTTGCCAACTAGACTACAAGCTAAGAAAAAAAAGTCAATGAACTGTTTGCGTGTCCACTCTGATGGGCGTAGGGTGGGTGCCTCATACTCTCCTTGCCCCCCAAGTTGCTGCGAAACCAGGACTGTGGGCTAAACCTGGGGCTAACACAGGGGTGGGGGCACCACACACATCCTGCTCATTAGGGGTCACCTCTTCCAGGCGTGGTTCGGGACTCTGTTCAGCTTCTGGTAAAGACTCCCAACTAGCATCGGGCATTTGAATTTCCCAGCTGAACAAGAGTTCAGACAGGCAATACACACACTATTTTTTGGCTTTTAGTCTAATAGGGACCACAAAATATTCCAAATCTCTTGTCTTCACGTTTGCCTACAAAGCTTTTTTCTTTTTTGATGATGTTGGAGATCCAACTCAGAACCTCATGCATGCCAGGGAAGCACTCCTACCTCAGGAAGCA